CTGAATACATCTCCCAGGAATCCACAAGGATGACTGATTTCCAAAGTGTCTGTACAAATTTGCACTCCCACCAGCAGTGGAGGAGTGTTCCCCTTACTCCACATCCTCGACAACATAGGCTGTCATTAGTGTGTTTGATCTTAGCCATTCTGACAGGTGTAAAATGGTATCTCAGAATTGTTTTGATTTGTATTTCCTTGATAGCTAAGGATGTTGAACAATTCTTTAAGTGTATCTTGGCTACTTGAGATTGTTCTGTTGAGAATTCTCTGTTTAAATCTGTATTCCACTTTTCAAATTGTATTATTTGATATTTTGATGTCTAGCTTCTAGAGTTCTTTATCTGTTTTGGAGACTAGCCTTCTGTCAGATGTGGGGTTGTTGAAGATCTTTTCCCATTCTGTAGGCTGCAATTTTGTCTTATTAAAAGTGTCCTTTGCCTCACTGAAGCTTCTCAGTTTCAGGAGGTCCCATTTATAGTCAATATCAGTGTCTGTGCTGCTGGTGTTATATTCAGGAAGTAGTCTCCTGTGCCAATGCATTCAAGGCTACTTCCCACTTTCTCTTCTACCATGTTCAGTGTAACTGGATTTATGTTGAGGCACTGGATCCACTTAGACTTGAGTTTTGTTTGTAGAGGGCTATAGCTTTGGATCTATTTGTATTAATCTAACATTCTGCCATCCAGTTATGCCAGCACCATTTGTTGAAGATACTTTTTTTTCTTTGTATTTTTTTGGCTTCTTTTTCAAAAATCAGGTGTTCATAGGTGTGTGGATTTATTTCAGGGTCTTTGATTCAATTCCATTGATCCTCTTGTCTGTTTTTATGCCAATACCATGTGGTTTTTGTTACTATAGTTGTGTAATAGAGCTTGAAATCAGGGATGGTGATACCTACAGAAGTTCTTTTTTTTATTTTCCAGGATTGTTTTTGCTATCCTGGTTTTTTTGTTTTTCCTTATGAAATTGAGTATTCTTCTTCTGAGGTGTGTGAAGAATTGTGTTGGGACTTTGATCAGGATTACATTGAATCTGTAGATTGCTCTTGGTAAGAACCCTATTTGATCATGGTGGATAATTGTTTTTATGTGTTCTCGGATTTAGTTTGCCAGTATTTTTTTTTTTAAAGATTTACTTATTTATTATGTATACAGCATGTATGACCAGAAGAGGGCACCAGACCTTATTACAGATGGTTGTGAGCCACCATGTGGTTGCTGGGAATTGAACTCAGGACCTCTGGAAGAGCAGTCAGTGCTCTTAACCTCTGAGCCATTTCTCCAGCCCCCTGGTTTGCCAGTATTTTATTGAGTATTTTTGTATCAGTGTTCATGAGGGAGATTGATCTCTAATTCTCTTTCTTAGTTGCATCTTTGTATGGTTGCGTGTCAGGGTAACTGTAGTCTTGTAAAAAGAGTTTGACAGTGTTCCTTCTGTTTCTATTTTGTGGGACAATTTGAGGAGTATTGGTATTATCTCCTCTTTGAAATTCTGGTAGAATTTTGCACTAAAACCATCTGGCCCTGGACCTTTTGTGGTTGGGAGACTTTTAATGACTGTTTCTATTTCCTTAGGGGTTATGGGTCTGTTTAAATTGTTTATCTGGTCTTGATTTAACTTTAGTATGTGGTCCCTATCCAGCAAGTTTTCTATTTCTTTTAGATTTTCCAATTATGTGGGGTGAAGTATGACTTAATGATTCTAGGATTTCTTCATTGTCTGTTGTTATGTCCCCCTTCTCGCTTCTGATTTCATTAATTTGGATATTCTCCTCTCCCTTTTGGTTACTTCGGATACCAGTTTGTCTATGTTGTTGATTTTCTCAAAGAACCAGCTCTGTGTTTCATTGATTATTTTTTGTTTTGTTTTTGTTTTTTCAAGACTGGGTTTCTCTGTGTAGCTTTGCACATTTCCTGGAATTCACTCTGTAGCCTAAGCTGGCCTTGAAGTCACAGAGATTCACCTGCCTCTGCTTTCCAAGTGCTGGGATTAAAGGCATGCGCCACCATCGCCCAGCTCATTGATTCTTTGTATTGTTCTCTTTGTTATTGATTTCATTTCTCAGTTTATTTCCTGTCATCTACTGCTGGGTGATACTGTTACTTTCTGTTCTAGAGCTTCCAGGTTCGCTATTAAGTCACTAGTGTGAGATGTCTCCAAATTCTTTATGTAGGCACTTAATGCTATGAACTTTTATCTTTGCACTGCTTTCATAGAGGCCCATAAGATTTGAGTATGTTGTGCCTTTATTTTCATTGAATTGTAGAAATGTCTTCATTTCTTAATTTTTTCCTTGACCCAGTAGTGATTAAGTTCAGGGTTGTTCAGTGTCTATGCATTTTTTGGCTTTTTGTAATTTGTGTTGTTGAATTCTAACTTTAAACCATGGTGATCCAATAAAATACAGGGGTTATTCCAGTTTTTTTTGTATGTATTGAGATTTGCTTTGTGACTGAGTATGTGGTCAGTTTTAGAGAAGGTTCCATGAGGTACTGAGAAAAAGGTATATCCTTTGTGTGGGTAGAATGTTCTATAGATGTCTGTTAGTCCATTTGGGTCATAACATTTGTTAGTTCTCTTATTTCTCTGTTAAGTTTCTGTGTAGCAGACCTGTCCATTGGTGAAAGTAGGGTATTGATGTCTCCCACTACTAGTGTATGGTGTTTGATGTGTGATTTAAGCTTTAGAATGTTTCTTTAGAAATGTGGGTGCCCTTGTATTTGGGGCATAAATGTTCATAATTGAGATTTCATCTTGATGGATTTTTCCTGTGATGAATATAAAATGCCCTTCTCCATCTCTTTTGATTAATTTTAGTTTGAAGTCTATTTTGTTAGATATTAGGATAGATACACCAGCTTGTTTCTTAGGTTCATATGGTTGGAAAAATCTTTTCCCAACCCTTTACTCTGAGGTAATGCCTGTCTTTAAAGTTAAGGTGTGTTTATTGTATGTAGCAGAAGGATGGATCCTGTTTTCATACCCATTTTGTTAGCTTGTGTCTTTTTATACACAAATTGAGTCCATTGATACTAAGAGATATTGATGGCCAGTGGTTGTTAATTCCTTTATTTTTTGTTTTTGTTGTTGTTGTTGGTTGTGTGTATTTGTTTCCCTTCTTTGTGTTTTGCTGATGTGAGAATATCTATTGCTTGTGTTTTCATGGATGCATAAAACTTCCTTGGGTTGTTTGGAGTTGGAGTTTTTCTTCTAGTACTTTCTGTAGGACTGGATTTGTGCTTAGGTATTGTTTAAATATGGTTTTGTCATGGAATATCTTGTTTTCTCTGTCTATGGTGACTGAAAATTTTGCTGGGTATAGTAGTCTGTGCTGGCATCTGTGGTCTCTTAATGTCTGTATAACGTCTGTCCAGAACCTTCTGGCTTTCAGTCTCCATTGAGAAATCGGGTGTAATTCTGACAGTACTGCCTTTATATATTAGTTGGCCCTTTTCCTTTGCCATTTTTTAATATTCTTTCATTATTTTGTATGTTTAGTGTTTTGATTATTATGTGGCGAGAGGACTTTTTTGGTCCAGACTATTTGTTATTATGTAAGTTTCATGTACCTTCATAGGTATGTCCTGCTTTAGGTTGTGAAAGTTTTCTGATATGATTTTATAGAATATATTTTCTGAGCCTTTGAGCTGGAATTCTCCTTTTTCTTCCATTGCTGTGATTCTTAGGTTTGGTCTTTTCATGGTGTCCCAGATTTCCTGGGTGTTTTTTGTTAAGAATTTGTTGGATTTAACATTTTCTTTAACTGACAAATCTATTTCCTCTTTCGTGTCTTCAACACCTGGGAGTCTCTCATCCACTTCTTGTATTTTATTGGTTATGCTTGCATCTGTAGTTCCTGTTCTTTTACCCTAATTTTCCAGTTCCAGTATTCCTTCAGTTTGTGATTTCTTTATTGCCACTCTTTCAATTTTCAAGTCTTGAACTGTTTCTTTCACCTGTTTGTTTGTTTTGTTTTGTTGTATTTCTGTAAGGGATTTGTTGATTCCTTCCATTTTTTTGTCTTTTCCTTCATTTCTTTAAGGGAAGTTTTCATTTCCTCTCTAAAGGACTCTATGATATTCTTAAAGTTATTCTTAAGGTCGTTTTCTTCTGCTTCATCTGCATTGGGATGTTCAGGTCTTGCTATTGTAGGACCATTAGGTTCTGGTGGTGCCATATTGCTCTTTATGTTGTTGAATGTATTCTTACTCTGCTGTTTACTCATCTGGATTGGGATAATTATAGGTACAGGTGTTGATTCTTGTGATGATGTCTTTGTTGGATGGGCCTTTTGTTCCTTTATTATCTGTTTCCTTTGTTGTCTTTTCCCTGAATGGCCAAGGGTTCTAATGATTGGCTGGTTGTCAGGTTGAGTAGTGTTGTCTGAGCTGAGGTTCATGGGGGTTTGGGTGCCTAGATCCGGTGTATTGTCCAGTTTTTCTGGCTGTTGTAGGCTTTACATGTGCCTATTGGTTCTGTTCTTCTTCTTCTTTTTTTTTTCAAAATCTATTTATTTATTTATAGCCGAATGCCATTTATTGAAGAAGGGAGGAGGTCCTTTTTGTTTTTTTAAGATTTATTTATTATGTATACAGAAGAGGGCTCCAGATCTCATTACAGATGGTTGTGAGCCACCATGTGGTTGCAGGGAATTGAACTCAGAACCTCTGGAAGAGCAGTCAGTGCTTTTAACCTCTGAGCCATCTCTCCAGCCCAGGAGGAGGTCTTAAATACAGGCTTATGGCACAATGGGAGAACCCTGGAGGGCAGAAGTTGGCTACCAATGTTTTACAATCTTGCATCTAAGCTGTTAATGCCCAATATGCATGATACACATACAAGGAACTTCCCTTAAGTATTCAGGAGGGTGGAACCTGGCAGGGAATTTGCATAGGGAGGATATCAAGGTTAAGGTCAGCAAGTAAGGCAACAGTTATCCAAAACGGGGGCAAGGGACCTACAGGCCCCCCGTTTACTAAAAATGAGCTTCTGACTTAGGTTGCGTGGGATGTCAGCCGGTCACCTTACCCGTCAAGGAGACACCTGCCCAGGCCACACTGGTGCTCTGTCTTTGGTTGGTGAGTGCCCCCCAGGCATTACCCATCTCTGAATACTCATTATCATACAGGCTCAATGATGTGTGAGCTGCAGAGTTAAGTGCTGCCAAAGTTCTCAAAGTGGCACTGGGCTTGCAATCTGTGTGTTCAACACAGAAAAGACCAATAGAAGTCCTATCCCACCCATAGCCAGTAGGCTAAAGGCAACTGAGCCATTCCCTTCCTTAACGAGGCTTACTGCAAATTGGAGTCCTTGTAAGATGGTATCCCAAAAGCAAATGGAACTTGAGTTTATAAATTTATGATTTTCAAAGCCAATCCAAATGTATATAACTATTGAATTAAATTTATCATGTCCAATAGAATGAAAGATTAACTAACTGTGGTAGCTACTTTTGCTGCCAGGGTCTCCACTGTGCTAGTTGTAGTAAGCAATTATGAAATGGTAATCCCAGAAACAGTAGCAGCAGTGTCCACCACTGCTATAACAGCAACAACAGCAGCAGTAATGTCAAATTCTCTTCTGGAGCGTGTGGGCATCCACTGGCATGGATACAACTCCAGTAACACGAACCACCAAAGCCCATTTTTCTTGATCCTAGCACGACTTAAGTTGGCAGCTCTGCAAAAGAACAACTTAGAACCATAAAGGAAAAACAGGCAGCTCATAAGGAGCATAACTAATTGGCTTATAATGGCTACATTCAGGCTCATAAATTTTAAGGTATCTTAAAAAGGGGAGCTAAAAGAATTTCAGGAGGCCAGTAAATGTTGCACAGAGCCACTCCTGAAAAGTGGGTACTACACCAGCTTGAAGAGGATTGTGAAAATGAGAAGGCTTAGTTGGCATGCTACTGTTAACAAATGGAGGTCAGTGACCTTCAGGGTTATCCTTAATCTCCAAGGTGTCTGGATGACACATTCTCAAACATACTTGAAAAAGCAGTTACCATACATTACCTTCTAGAGAATCCAACCTCATGGCTACAGTTCCTAGGCTTACATTAATGCTCGCCAAAGCTGGCCATATTGGGCTCTCAATCCCCATTGGCATCAGAAGGGGAGAGTTTTTCCACGAAGGCCCAATAGGTCTCTCCCATGTTGAGCTTCAGCAGTAGCCACAGGGCGCACACAGCACTCAGGAATCCAAAGAGGAACCTCATTGTCCTGAGGAAAGACATAAACAGAACCCCGGGCCCACACCAGCACCAGATCGGGTCTCCTCCAAGTGCCAGTGGAAAGATCCTTCCATCGATCCAGAGGGTGATTTGCAACAGGAGCCCTCCATTGCTTATCTGCAGTAGATACTCCAGCAAAATCCACTGATAAAAATTTAAAATAAATAAAACAAGGGAAAGAAAGGAATGTGGAGAGGAATGATGAGTACTTAGTTCCCCTTTTTCTACTTTAGTAAAATATGTTTGGTTTTTTTTAATAGTTCAAATTTTTCTTTTATTTTTTATCTTTTAATTAATTAATTAATTAATTAATTTTTCTATTATCAGCTTGATACAGTATAAATTCTTATCTTAATAGTGAAATGTTTCATTGAGGCTTGCTCAGTAATTGAGTAAAACCAAAACTTATTATAAGCCACAGTCATCCTAGGGTCCCACATGCTATATATATAGCCTCCATGGTTCTGCAGGTTGCAGTCTGATTGGCTCTGTTCTTCTAATTGGTTTGTGTTTTGCCTGTGCCTATGGAGTCTGTTCTTCCATCTGGTCTAAGTTTGCCTGTGCCTGTTCTTCCAGCTGGTGTGGGTGGTGCTTGTTCCTATAGGGTCTGTTGATGTTGGTGGAGAAGGTTGTTCACAGGGAGGTTGCTGGGTTAGGTGGGATTGGGCAGCAGAGTGGGTCTGTTCTTCCAACCGGTGGAGCTTGTGCCTCTAGGAGCTGCTGATGTTTTGAGGGATGATTGGCCATGGGAGGATGATTGGGTCGGTAGGTTTGGGTGGCAGCATGGGTCTTGTAGAGTCCAATGAGTGGTGGTCAGTTGGTGGAGTGGCCTGTCCATAATATTCTTTCCTGCTGGCCAGCTGTAAACTAATTTTTATTATTATTACTATTCAGTTTTAATCAAATAGAAGCAATAAAAAATAGTATAAAACAAAAATTCTACCCCAAATAGACATTGATATCTCCTCTTAAATTCTATTTATATAATTTGTAATTATTATGTATTGATATTTAGTGATTTTATTGGTTTATTCACTCACCGTTACTCCTTGTTACCATCTGTCCTATCCCTGGGTATATATTGTTTTCTTCCCAGTTTTCCTCATATTTCATGTATGGTTTGGGCCAAGTATCCAGGCTGGAATGTGTCCATAAATCCAACTGGCATGTCATACGGCTAGAGAGTTTTTCACATGTCACCTCCCCATCCTCCAGCTCTTAAAATCTTTCACCTCTTCTTCTGCAATGTTCTCTGCAAATTAGATGTGAGAAGATGAAAATTCCATTATAGCCCATGCAATAAACATTTAATTGTTCTCAGTATTTGCTGAGTTATGAGTCTCTGAAATAACTGTTGTCCATTGAAAACAAAGTTTCTTAGACAAGGAGGAGGCAAGGAAACAAAACAACACCAAGGTATGGTATTTTCAGAACCAGTTAAAGGCAGATTGAATATTTGTACATGTAGCAGAATGTCAGTAGTGTATTCCCTCCTAGGACCTGTGACCTTCACCATCACTGGCTTTTGGCCAGGTTTCTAGTATCATCCATGTATTTCTTTCTGTGGAGTCAGCTTCAGATGAAACCAGAAGGCCTTCCATTACCCACAAAATAGTCTTGCCACTATGACACCATATATTCCTTGCCTGGCAGGTTGGTATTGTAGCACACTGGATCCAAATCTGGTTATGGCCATTGATGTCTGTCCCCTGTCCCAGCCTGCATAGCAGTTTTTGACGCAATAAATGCTACCACTGGGGAGTCTAAGATAGTTTTTAGACCCTGTGAGAGTTCTGCTGACTTCTCAGCTTCTTCTTGTTGGTATGTAAAAAAAAAAAAAAGTGATGTTGTATGTGTGTTATATAGCATATGAAGATGTATGGGCATGAGCATCTCACATTCTTCAGAGCTTTAATGAGAGCAGATATTATTCTTTGCCACATGCCTGTCATAGATCTCTTGACATGATCATATTTCTTCTCTCACTGAGTCTACAATTTGGTGTCTAGCATTGATTAATTTATGTGTTGAAACAGTGTTGCATTCTTGGCATTATATTATCTTGCATTCAATTTCCATGTAATTTTGAGACAATCTCTGTGTCTATGTTGATCCTAGAATCTGGTCTGTGGTTTTTCTTTGAATATGTTTGTTTGGATTCATCTGCTTCACGTGTGGAGGGAAAGCTAGCTTTGTATGATGACTTTTTACCATTCCTTTTCTTTATGTTTTTTTTTCCCCCACTAACAAGAGTTTTATTAAGATAAGGGCGAGAGACAGATGTGCGAAGGCCTATGGAAAGACACATGAGTAAAGTCTTCTTTATGTTTTATGTGATATTCTCCTTGTATAGTTGAAGTTTTCCTGTGTCCCACCCAGTTTGCAGTCGCTCAGACCCAAGTAAACACACAGAGGTTTATATTAATTAAAACTGCCTAGCCATTAGCTCAGTCCTCCCACTGACCAACTCTTACATTTAAACTCAGCCCATTTCTGGTAATCTATATGTTGCCACATGTTCCATAGCTTTCCTGTGTGCCATTGCTCCCTGGACGGCAGGCTGGCATCTCCTGAGTCAGCCTTCCAGCCTTCCTACAATTCTCCATGTTTGCTTATCCCACCTATACTTCCTGCCTGGCTACTGGCCAGTCAGCATTTTATTTATCAACCAATCAGAGCAACACACATTCACAGCATACAGAACATCCCACAGCATCCTTGTGATATTATTATAAGGTTTTTCTAAAGGAAAGGAGAATTCTGTTCTGAATCTGTCCAGTCCTCAGACACTGTTAAGGAAACTTCTTGCTTCAGTCTCAGCACTGTTTAATGCCTTTCTAGCTTTATACCTTAGCAGTTTGAAGTTTTCATTTGTTTCTAGGAGCTTGCTCTTTCCTCTTCAATTGTATTTTTTTGTGTATGACTTTCTGCAATACTCCATAAGGTAACTCTGATGTTATTGAGATACACTGCAATATGGTTTTTTTTTTTTTTAAACTCCAGTTCTGTTACTTGGGAATTCATTCTTTCAGTTTGAATTTGGTGAAACATGTTTCATCCATCCTTTTGTCAATTCACAGAAACAACTTTGTTTCCTTGACTCATTGTATTTTTGTCTAGTCTGTCTTTCATTAAATTCTATACAATATTTTAAATATCTTTCTGTATACCAGTTCAGATTGACTTATTCTTATGCTTGTAAGCCCTCAGCCACATTATAATGGACCAATATCTTTTACAAACACTTTCCAGTGCTCCCTAAACTTCTCAATGTATCTTTGTCACCCCTCTTCTGTGTCACTGCTTTTCATGAGTTGTCATTCACTCTGACACTCTACTGAAGTGTCCTCAGGTCTCCATGAATTCTGTCTCACTCTTCATTGGTTGAAATCTCTATAATAGTTATCACCATTGAAAATCCAACATGTCCATTTTTGCCATTGAACTGTACCAAGGCCACACTGTAGTAACAGAGCAAGGCTTTAATAAAATCTACATCCATAGGGGAAGGGAGGCAGGGTTTAAAAACAAACTCCATCCAAAGGAGCTTTTACATGCTCCAAGTTTGAGCTGAAAGGCAAGAGTAAAGCCTCATTTATGGCATAAATAAGCCATGAGACTTCAGGTTGGAGCCGAGAGACAGTGGGACATGTTGCAGAGGCTTAAGGAAGCTGTGCAGCTTAGCAGACCTTCCCTTGGTGGAAGAGGCAAGGAAACAAGGAGGTTGGTTCCAATAGAGGGAAAGGAGCAAGAATCTTAATAACTCGAGGTTTTTCCACATGGTAGGGCTCCAGAAGGTGTAGCAGTCTCCAGGAGACAGAGAGGATAATTACTGAGGAGGCGAGGAGAGAGGAATGACTAGATCAGGAGAAAGGAATAGTCATCTGATAAGGCACACTCTAGAATTTGGAACCAAATATGATGGGTAGTTGAAGCCAGCAGAAACAGATAATTTGTACACATCTTAAGAGAGTCAAATCAGCAGCTTGAGTCACTTTGAAAGGTTGAGACATTGCATGGTTGAAAGTAAGTATGGCAACTTCTACCAATGCTACTTGAAGACAAGAGAACTCTGGAAGGGAGTAGTATTTGGAGACTTTTTTTTTTAAAGATTTATTTATTTATTATGTATACAGGAGAGGGTGTCAGATCTCATTACAGATGGTTATGAGCCACCATGTGGTTGCTGGGAATGGAACTCAGGACCTCTGGAAGAGCAGTCAGTGCTCTTAACCTCTGAGCCATCTCTCCAGCCCGTTTGGAGACTTTTGTATGTTAGAAGTTGGGACAGGGAGTGTAGAGAAAGACAGGTGACCAAAGGTTAACTTCTTTGATTTGTGTAAAAGCAGTTAAGCTGCCACCAGTGGTACATTCTTGTATATGAATGTATGGAGGTGTAGTTTTAATACCATATTAAACAAACGTTGTCTTAAACCCTATCTGTAGGTTCCAATAGTCCAGCTCTCAGTCCCTATCCAGAGTTCCTCAGAGAAAAACCATTGAGAGATCTAAGGATAAGGCAAGGAATACATATATTATATTCTTAAGTGTTACTAAGAGTGCATGCTAATTTTCTGTGGTCAGTAAAAAACAGAAAATGGCAAAAACTAAGGGAGCACCGCTTTCATATGGTGGCTCTAGAGAAGCAGCTTCCTGCAAAAGCAGGTACAGTGAGTAAACATGGCAGCCTTCATAAGTAAAGCAGAAGCAAGCAGCACTTATCTGTTTCAGCAGTTTCACCAAAAGCTGGCTGCATAAAAAAGGGAATATTTCAGATTTAAGAATACATTTTCTGCCCTACAGTAATCTCAGAACCTAGGGTGTGGACCTAATAACTTTTTGTTCAAGGCTGAGAGACCTGGCATTTATTTCATAACTCTGGCAGGCTGTTGAGCCTTTTCCCATGCTAAATCCCTTCAAGACTGTGTTAGATAATTAGCTAGTTAATTATCTGTTATTCACATAAAATCCAGGATTGAAGATAAACAGTAATCTGAGCATAGATCTTGCATCAAAAGCAGGTGTTTAAGTTGTAAATAAAGCATTAATTGCTATTTCAGTCAGAGCCAGGAAGGTGTGGACATGCTGATAATGGCAGAGCTGGCTGAGGAAGCTTAGGGCAAGTTAAGTCTCTATTGATCTCTTGAAGAATTAAGATATAACACAGTCAGACACCTGCAACCCTAATTCACCATGAATCTTTTGAAGGACTTAATGTAACAAGGCTAGACATCTGCAATTCCACTCATGATTAAAATCCGTGAAAGTTCCTCCTGTGCTCTCTCCCCAAGGACATTCTGTCTGGCCAAACTGCCCTGTCAGTAAGGCTATTGATAGAGAATAGGCTTCAAAGTTTGTCATTGTAATGTGGAACTAAAGACTGGACTTTGAGAGCTTGTTTTATTTACCAGAACAACAGTGTGGGGAGAAGTCATCCTTCTATTAGTACACAGGAATAACAGTTCCCAGAAAATGAGGAATACACTGCCAAGGATTGTGGGGCAAGTCACAAACTGTTTTAAAGTGGAACCATGGGAATGACAGAAGAGAATCACAGATAGACTCAGCCAGTTATTTATAGGCAGTATTTCCCATGAGCCCTGCCTGTGGACTTAATCTCCATTAGATATGAATTTCTCTTGTGGGTAACCTTATAAATATAAGCTGTCATTACTGCATATCTTTGCAGACTCAGTCACCTAAGCTGGTAAGCTTAATCCAGTTTGAAAACCCAGAAATAAATTCTGCACTCTGGCCATCAGAGCAGTCATAGCAAGCAGCATTAGTGCTGGTGTCTTGCTGCTAACAGTGGCAGAGAATGCAAAAACAAAACCAATAAACGCAGAACACAGGACCCTCACACACTGAAAGATCAGTCAGAAATAAAACATGCCACCATTATACATTCAACTTTCCTGACCAATTTCCATCTCAGCTCCCATGTATATAAGGAAACATACAGATACACCATAAAACAGAATCAAAACTTTCCAAACAAGCAGAATCAGGCAGGCTGGCTATATCTCGCCTTTTCCCCTGGATGGATGTGAAAGGGTTTTGTAATTAGACGAGAGGGGAATAATGTTTGGTTCATGGAGGGGTTTTAGGTGTCCCATATGCTGGAATCCAACTTAGAAATCAGTAAAGAGGTATGTCAGGTTGTGTGGTTTGGAGAAGGAGGAGGATGTCCAGTGAGCCTGGGGTCAAGCAGATGAAAGGAAACAAAAGAAATACAGGTTCCCACCTTAGCTAGCAGGTTCCTTCCCAACAAGAGCATAGGGCAGGTTGTTACCACTAGCAAGGAGTCGGTAAGGGGAATACCCCTAAAAATACAGCTGGTAAGGCTGTTCCTCTATTCCAAAAATAGAAAAGGAGAGGTATGTCCCCAAAACTCCATGAGTGCTGAAGGAAGGAGATAGATTGCCCTGATACTGTGATGACTACCCAAGGTTCCCCCTTGGTGATAGCACTGGTTGGGCTAGTGACCCCAGAACCCCTCAGTCATTTATGGCCAGACTTAAGAGATCAGCTGGAAGGTAATCTAGGATTGGTGTCCTCATACCATGAAGACAGTCATCGGCACAATGTCCCTCTTGATGGCATTATGGGAATGGCCATAATGTTTTATGAGGGATTGAACAGTCTCAGGTCCAGTGACCCTCCTGACCACATCTGAAATAGGGACTTTGAGGTTCTTGGGCTTTGGGTGCTTTGGTAGTTGCTATAGGTGACTGAAAGCCCTTAAGTCAGCATCAGGTATTTTTGTTTTCATGCTTTTTCTTTTCTCCCAAGATGCACCTTGAGGCCCGTTGCTAAGACTTCTACCTGTAGAGTCAGGGGTCTTTTGCCAAGGTTCTTTGACCTTACGTTTGGTTCTAATATCTGGGAAACTTTGGGTGGAAGTAGGTAGTTCCATCAGGGGTCTCACAGTCCAGATTGGTATATTGTAATAGGGCCTTTGTAAGGGGGTCTAGGAATTGAGATTGGTTTCCATGTTTATCCTGTTGAACTCCTACTTTTGTTTTTTTTTTTTTGTTTTTGTTTGTTTGTTTGTTTGTTTGTTTTTGTTTTAAAAGCAGCTTTGTGGAGACTGGCTAGGAGTCAAGGTATAAACTGATCCTTAGCAAGGATGTATCCTGGGGTATTATAATTCCATTCAGGGTTCTGGTCAAGGAATGTCTTAGCTCTGATTGGGTGGTGATATTAGTTTGGAGTCTTTTGCCTGCATGTGCCCTGTCCTGGTTCAGATTTAGCTTGTAATCCTTGGGGTTGGTGAGAAACAAAAAAAGCCCAGGACCATATGGTTTCAGTGCAAAATTCTACCAGAATTTCAAAGAGCTAATACCAATACTCTTCAAATTCTTACACACAATAGAAACAGAAGGAATATTACCAAACTCTTATTATGAGGCTACAGTTATTCAGATACCCAAACCACACCAAGAAAGATAACTACATACCAACCAATCTCCTTCATGAACATTGATGCAACAATACTCAATAATATACTGGCAAATCAAGTCTAAAATCACATCAAAGAAATTATCCACCATGACCAAGTAGGCTTCATCTCATGTAAGGATGGTTCAACATATGAAAATCTGTCAATGTAATAGACCATATAAACAAACTGAAAGTAAAAAACCACATGATCATCTCATTAGATGCTGAAAAAGCCTTTGGCAAAATCCAACACCCCTTCATGATAAAGGTCTTGGACAGATTACAGATACAAGGAACATACCTAAACATAATGAAGATAATATACATAATATACCCAACAGCCAATGTCAAACTAAATGGTGAGAAACTCAAAGCATTTCCACTATAATCAGGAACAAAACAAGGCTGTCCAATTCTCCCCATATTTATTTAATATAGTACTTGAAGTTCTAGCTGGAGCAATAAGACAACAAAAGGACATCAGGGGGATACAGATTGGAAAGGAAGAAGTCAAAATTTTGCTATTTGTGTACAATATAATAGTCTACATAAATGACCCCCAAAATTTTAGGAGATGATGTTTTTGGGTGCAGTGATTAGGTTCATAGTCATTTTCTTTCTCCACTCTAAATATATCCTGTGCTCTCCTGTCTATAGGAACATTAAAAGATTTCTGGTATCATTTTAATTTTGAGATCTTTTTTGGTTTTGCATTGTTCAGAAGAGAGTTGTATTAATTTTAGCTTTGTATTTTTGATACCTTGATATGAAATTTCAGCAAGAATTCTAGTTTTTGGTCCAGAGATAGAAACTCAGAGAAGAGCAACAAGAAGAATGAATACTTCTTCGGTAAATGCTTCCCAGGTCAGTGTCATGTTTTGCATTTTTTGAAAGTTGTTCTTGTTATTTAAACCAATTAAGACTTTAATTCTTTATTTCTAGTAATGTTATCTAAAGTGTTTGTTTTTTATGATTTATCTTCCCTTTCTTCTCTGGTTATCAATAGTAAGTCTGTAGATCTTGAATATACATAGCACAGCCCTTTCTCCTTATATTTTCATTTCATGTTTTACTTTGAGGACATAAATTTTAATAGACTGAAGACTTGCCACTGTGAAAGAGAATATATTGATGCCCCTATCTATATAGGATGGACTGTGTCCTTTTATATTAATGAGGAAGGAAATTCTCATGTGCTAGGTCAGGTTTCCAGAACTATACTCATGAATGTGGACATCCAAATGCATGGATTTGATGACATCACTAAGCAATTTATGGAAAAGTAGAATTAGAAGAGTTTCACTGTCTTTATCCCAATAGTAAATATGTCAGAACCCTGGAGAGTATTGATGATGGAAGTAATAAGTGGCTTACTTCTTTCATAAAATTGATGAGTCTGTGATCACATGCAAAATGCAGTGTACTAGTTTCTCTCTTTGACATGTATCACACAATGCTGATGAGTGTGTTGCCACGTGAAATCTATTCATCTGTGAAGTCCTGATAATATTCTTAATGCTCAGTTGTAAGTTGTCAATGGACCAACGATGATTTTCTCTTTTCCTTTTCTTAATTTTCAGAAAGGTATAAGCACCAGAGTGTCCATCTTTGTATTTTATCACATGGCATATATTACTAAGAATTTTCTGGAGAGAATTGAATTGGTGCTGTGCATAAGCCATCAATTTTAAAACATAAATAAATGTCCCATTTTTCTCTTCCTTGTTTTTGGAAGTATAAGCCTGCCTATACACTGATTTTCCTCACCCTGAGGCTATGTATTACATAGGGTGAGATTCTGAAGTATTGGGGCAATGGGACAGTTTCTATTTCTCTTTTTACAATAATATTTAAGTATATGTGTGTTCTTCATATTTTTATACACACAGCATGATGCATTATGCACCTGCATCCCTGATTTTGGGACTAAAGCCTTGGCACTGGAATCAGACAATGGAATAAGCTGCCATGTGTGTAGAGAAAATTAAATTATATTTCTCTGCAGGAATAGCAAATGCCTTTACCTCTGAGCCATTTCTCTAACCCCAGGGTTGACATTCCTTGAATATTTGTAAGACAGATGATTTAGAACCTTGCATCGTCTAGTTTTTGAGAAATGAAGGCAGAAGTATCAATGACACTTAACTATGTAACCTAAAATCCTGTTAGATGCCTGAGCTCAAATATTGAAGAAAAGAGTTGAAATAAAAAGATTTGAGTTTTCAATTGAGCCAATCTCTTGAGTAGTGTTCAAAATTAATGAAGAAGTAGTGGGATTCTTACAAAGCTTAATACATTTGTTTCAATCAGAGAACACATTTCTATTTGTTCTGGAAGCATTGTCCCACATTCCATTTTTCTAAACACATTTCTAACTATTTTGTAGTGAAACACCATATAGAATTCATGATATTGTTATCATCCTTACTGTTGTCAAGCTTTAGGAAAATTTATATAATATTAATTCTATTTCTGATTTTTCTGTTTACTTAGTGGTTGTGAAAATATTGTCATAAAATAACTGTGCAAGGTATTTGAGTCTATGTGTTGTTTGGATCATTGGATGTATATCCTGATGTTATACTCCTTTCTGTTTAAAGAAAACACTCTATTTTAATTCATACATGGATTCTGCATTCCATATTCTATATCTTGGTTTTAGAAAGGTTCCAGCATTGCACCTAGATTTCAGGATCTCAGTTGAACATATTAGAATATACTATGGTATGGCCCAGCTACAGATAGGATTGATTCAGTGTCCGTAGTTGAGTGGAGTTGTGGAATTTGAAATCACAGTTCAGTTTTGCTCATCATAAGTTAGCTATCTGAGACTGACCCAGGGATCCTATTTAATTCTAACATACTTCATAAAGGTAAATTTCTGCATTTAGACCTCACATGTGTTATATTCCCTGACAATTTGCTTATTGTGATACTATTAGTGTCATCCTCTTTTCATAGAGTTAGAAAATACCATACAGACTATGACCATTTTACATACATTTAAGTATAATTAAATTTCAGTTTTATTTTACGTATGTGGGTAAAATTGCCTGAATGTATTAGTGTATGCTATGTGTGCCTCCTGTCTGTTTAGTTCAGAAGTGAACATGGAATTCCATGGAATTGGTGCTATAATCTGTTGCGTAGTGCCACAAGGGTGCTGGGAACCAAACTACATTTTAAAGGCCTATAAAAGTCATTACAGATTCCAAACAACAGAGACCATTTTCAAATGTAGTGATTGTGGCAAGTTCTTTATCTGCTACTCAGCTCTTAGTAATCATCAGCAAATTCATGAATGATAGAGACTTTAAGAATGGAAACCATGTAATAATTGTTTTATTACATTGTCTATGGAAGAGAAGCAATGATGAACATCTAACTCATTTCTGCAACCATGCTAGAAAACTTTGTCTTTGAACAACTGCTATGTCTCATCTACGTCACAGAAGTGTCTAATTTTTTTTTTCTTGAGACAGGGTTTCTGTGTGTAGTTTTGGTGCCTGTCCTGGATCTTGCTCTGTAGACCAGGCTGGCTTTGAACTCACACAGATTCGCCTGGCTCTGCCTTCCAAGTGTTGGAATTAAAGGCATGCACTACCACCATCCAGTGGAAGTATCTAATTCTTTAGGCTCTTTTACCTAGGAACACATTTTTACAGCAGCACATGGTATATAGGTATTTTTCTATTGCAGAGTCTGTTAACATTCAGGGATGTGGCTGTGGATCTCTCGCAGGAGGAATGGGAATGTCTAGATTGTGCACAGAGGGCATTGTACATGGATGTAATGTTGGAGAATTACAACAATCTAGTCTTTGTAGGTAAGAATGCTCTTCTAGAATTCCTGATTCAATCTTTTTTATTTGTATCCATGTTTATATTTAATTTCTCTGAACTGTCTAGATACAGAAATAAGGAAAAGTTCTGGTTGTCACCACAGCTTTTTCATGGTACCTCCTTTATATTTTTCTGTGTTCTACACAAGCATAAACAATGATATATTCTATGTAATGTCTCCATCCTTCCTGCCTAGTGTTTAAAGAACACTTAAGTTCAATGAAAATTGAATATTCAGAGCATGGAAATATGTTGCAGTATACAGAATAATTGGAATATTTTGATTATACTATTGGATTCAACTATTCAGTTATTTTTTATTTTTACAGTTCAAGAGGTTTTAAGTGAAACTGGAACATGGGTTTTTGTTTGTTTCATTTGTTTATTCAGATTTTGTGACGTGTTCTCTATGTTTAGCCCCAAGAAAGCATGATTTTAACGCTAGCAGTAGGGATGTAGAAGCAAAAGGAAATGTTGTGTTCCATCCCTACCTGGGTTACATAATGTGTTCTTAGCTGACTAAAGCTATCCAGTATGGCTATGTCTCAAAAAAAATACAGGAAAATAGATAAACACTGTTCATGTGATCTTTCAGGAACTCCTAATCATTGCTTGATCACTTATTTGTTCTGTGTTCTGTAAGGCATACAGTTTAAAGAAGAAGGAGAAAGTCCTTTTGGTTTGACATAGGTCACACTGGAAGTTCTTTGAAGCATCCATTTAATGATGTGAGATAGAATAGACCTCTGGTGAGAGCTCTATCACTGAGAATTGCTAGTTTATATGTCATACAAACCTTAAGGCAAATCAGTTATTAAATCTCTTACTCATGCATTAATCCCTGTTTTCCATCATTGTGGCAATTTTTCAGGTGAAAATCAAAGAGTCCACATAGGAAACAAAGAACAAAAAAATACAGAGCTTGATAAATCTTTTGACTCTCAACATAAACTCACACTGGAAGAAATCAAGAGTGGAAAGAAACCACATCAAAGCCGGAAATGTGGAAACTGCTTCAAGACAGACTCAAGCCTTAGTAGACATCAGAGAGCTCATACTAGACAGAAACGCTATAAATGTGCAAAATGTAGTAAATCCTTTACACATTTGTCACAACTCAAAGTACATTGCAAGTTCAATTGTGGAGAAAAATCCTACAAATGTACAGACTGTCCTAAGTGCTTTTACCTGACATCAGAATTTAAAAGACATTGCAGAATACATTCTGGAGAGAATATTTACAATTATAGTGAATGTGACAAATCCTTTATGAGCACATCATCTCTTAGAATGCATCAGAAAATTTGTCCTGGAGAGAAACCTTATGGATGTGGTGAATGTGATAAATCCTTTATCCAGAAATTGAATCTTGGATCTCATCAGAGAAACCATACAGGAGAGAAACCTTACAAATGCAGTGAATGTAATAAATCCTTTACTAATAGAGGTAGTCTTAATACTCATCTGAGAATGCATACAGGAGAGAAGCCTTACAAATGTGTTGAATGTGACAAATCATTTACCACTTCCTCATATCTTAGAGCTCATCAGAGAATTCATACAGGGGAGAAACCTTACAAATGCAGTGAATGTGACAAATCCTTCATCAGTTCCTCAGATCTTAGAAAACATCAGATAATTCATACAGGAGAGACACCTTACAAATGCAGTGAATGTGTCAAATCCTTTACCCAAAAACGCACCCTTAGAACTCATCAGAGAATTCATACAATGGGGAAACCTTACAAATGCAGTGAATGTGACAAATCCTTCATCAGTTCCTCAGATCTTAGAAAACATCAGAGAATTCATACAGGAGAAAAACCTTACAAATGTGGTGAATGTGTCAAATCCTTTGTCACTTGCTCTGAGCTTAGAAGACATCAGAGAATTCATACAGGAGAGAAACCATATAAATGTGCTGAATGTTACCTATCTTTTACCACTGCCTCACAAATCAGACGTCATCAGAGAATTCATACAGGAGAGAAACCATATAAATGTGCTGAATGTTACCTATCTTTTACCACTGCCTCACAAATCAGAAGTCATCAGAGAATTCATACAGGAGAGACACCTTATAAATGCAGTGAATGTGGTAAATCCTTTACCCATAAAAGCACTCTTAGAACTCATCAAAGACTTCATACAGGGGAGAAACCTTACAAATGTGGTGAATGTGTCAAATGCTTTGTCAGTTGCTCTGAGCTTAGAATTCATCAGAGAATTCACACAGGAGAGAAACCTTACAAATGTATTGGATGTGATAAATCTTTTATCAGTTGCTCTGAGCTTAGAAGACATCAGAGAATTCATACAGGAGAGAAACCATATAAATGTGGTGAATGTAACAAATCTTTTACCACCGGCTCACAATTCAAAATTCATCAGAGACTCCATACAGGAGACAAACCTTACAAATGCACTGAGTGTGATAAACCTTTTTCTCATAGAAGCAGTCTTATTACTCATCAGAGAATACATACAGGAGAGAAACCTTACAAATGTAGTGAATGTGACAAATCCTTTACCACTGCCACACATCTTAGAACTCACCAGAGAATTCATACTGGAGAGAAACCTTACAGATGTGGTGAATGTGTCAAGTCCTTTGTCAGTTGCTCTGCGCTTAGAACACATTGGAGAAAACATACAGGAGAGAAACCATTTAAATGTAGTGAATGTGACAAATCCTATATTTCTAGTTCTGCTCTTAGAAAACATCAGAGAATTCATACAAGAGAGAATGTGACAAATCCTTTATTGATGGAGGCAACCTTAGAACTCATCAGAAATTTCACACAGGAGAGGAACCATAAAAATGTAGGGAATGTGACAAGTTCTTTACCACTGCCTCACATCTCATAGTTCACTATAGAATTCATGCAGGTGAGAAACCTTACAAAAGCAGTGAAGATTACAAATCATTTATCCTAAAGGGCCATTATGGAATTTATCAGAAAATTCATACAGGAAAGAACCCTTACAAATCTAGTGAATGTGACAAATCCTTTAGCAAGAAAGGCCATCTTAGAGCTCAGTAGAGAATCCATACAGGAGAGAAACCTTACCAATATAGTGAAAATGACAGGTCTTTTATCAGTTGCTCAGATCATAGAAAACATCAGAGAATCCATACAGGAAAGAAACTCCACATATGTATTGGATGTGAAAAACCCTTTATCAGTGCCTACATCTACTTGAGGACAATAGAGTATTCATACACTAGAGAAACCTTACCAATATATTAAATGCTAGAAATCTTTGTCAAAAAATCAGACTGAGAACACACCAAAGTATTTGTACAGGAGAGAAAATTTACCATGTACTATGTGAGGAAAAGCCTTTGCTGTCTCTCAGGTCTAATTGTCAATATAAGAAAGTTATCAAAGCTTTTCAGTAACATTCAAATCTTAGACTACATCTGGAAATTATAATGAGGGGAATTCTGAACATGTTACAATGTAGGAAATTTTCATTAGAACTTTTTATACTTATGCAACCTTAAGTTCTTCATAATGAAGATAAAAAATTGAAACCTGGAGAATGTGCTATTGTATAGCATTTTTTTTGAAGACTTAAGGCATGTGTCTTGTACGGGAAGTAAGTCAGAAAATGTACACCTCAAAACATCTTCAAGAAATTCTTGAAACTGATGGGATTCAGTATGCTTTAATAAAATGAAGAAACCCAGAACCTACGGCTTGAAGAGCACTTGACAAAAATATTCCACAAAGATAGGATACTCTTTAACTAGTAGATATACCTACAAATGTGCAGTGTGCTCCTGATATTCTGTATGTATATGTTGTTTCCCATGCTGGTGTAGAATTTCATGATAACAACTGTCTTTGAGTCCTTTGTGCTCCACTAAGCAACTACTTCCTGCTGCTCCTTGTACCAACCCTAATAAAGCTTGTTGGTTCAACATGGTTGACTTGGTTCTCTTTTCAGTTCCCTGTTGGGTTATGCAGTTGCATATATGTGTTGCATCTCCCCAGAAAATGCATCTCCTTACATATGTGCTTAGGCAATTGTTCCTCCAAACTTTCTGTACAACAGAAAATAGATAACAGAATGCATTTGAGTCCCTAAAGTAGGTAAGATTGTTTTTGCTTACTGCTCCTGGTTGGCTGCCTTAATAACACTTGGTTAAGGATGGCATACTATTTGTGTTCTGACAAATAACACTTGCCTGGAGATCAAATGGTGGAGCTAGCCACTGGTTTTCCATAAGAGCCTGTCATTGTAGGTTCATGCCTTTAATCCCAGCACTTGAAAGTATCTTTTCTTTAATCCCAGCACTATGGAAGTAGAGACAGGGATCAGGAATAGAAGACAGGTGGAGATTGGATACCCTCCTCCCCCAATTCAGTCAGAGGATTCGGAGGGTTAAGTAGTGACTGTGGCAGCTTTGCGTCTCTTTTCAGCTTTTGCCCTAATATACGTCTCTGGGTTTTTATTCATAAGACTTTATTAGTTTACTAGGCTATACTGTGGAGCCTAAGAGAAAAGACCATTGTCTTCCTTGATAAGCAATGCATAAAAACAAATGAAATACAGCCACAAACCGGGTTAGTGAGAAAAATCACCCAAACTGGGCTTTTTCCTTAAGTAGCTCTGAACTTCTACATGATTCAACCAAACTCCAATCACCCTCAAAAATAAGGCTACCCATGGTATACTATTATACACCATTGTTGTGATCTCCTGTCTTGGTATTCCTTAAAATTCCATTCTCATTCCCCAAGGAATACATTGAATTTCAGTTCTTTTTGTTAAATCATTTAAAAATGCTAATATTATAGACATCCCTGAAAAGTCTCATGAAGCATAACTCATTAAGAAAGTTTTACAAGGGACTCATTTTCTGTTTAATGTCATGGGCCAGTCAATCTGTACAAATCATGAAACTATGAAGCTTTTAAGAGAAAACCTATGAATTAGACACAATGTCCATGCTTATGTTAGCTTAGAAATCCACACAAAAATTTTCTGGAAGATTATTATTATAATGTACTGAGAAATATTTAGTCCAACTCCAAAGCATTTTACTCATACTAAAAATAGGAAGACTCAGCTTTTGGACCGTAGACAAGGCAGGATGTTTCAGTGTACAAAAACCATGCCTGTAGGTAAATTTTCCAACTCTGTTGTTTTGGTCCCGGATTTCTGCATCAAAATGTAAGTAACTGTGTTGCAACTCTGGAGGAAAGGTATCCTGACTATTTGAGGAGTCAGGCAACACCTTGAGCTACTAGGACAGCTCTGACAGCTGGAGCTGCAATGAGACAGCTCAGCCCTGAAGGATGAGGTATCTGCATACCTCCAGCTGCTAGGACAGCTCAGTCCTGGAAGGGAAGGTACCCTGACTGCTCAGGATAATCAGGCCTGGAGCTGCTAGGACAGCTCAGCAGGAAACGGTATCCTGACTGGGAGTCAGGATATACCTGGTGTTGTGGTGGATGGTCTCCCCACAGGATATAGCAATCCTGGTCCTCCTGGAGAGCCACTACAGCTAAGCTTTGCTCAGCTCCCACTTAAGGGGGCTTCCTAGCAGAGCTCCACCTCTTCCCCGGCCTAAGATGTTATTTCTTTTGGTTCACTCTGCAAAAGGGGAGAACCCTGCAGAAATGTAGCAATCTACTCTGGTTCCAGTGAAAAGTGTTACTCTTTCAGCTGCCACTTGCTCAGCCCCCTGAAGTATGTCTCAGCAAGGTCCTTCTCTTCAGCTCCCCCTTTCTCAGCCCCCTGAGGGACATCTCAGCCTAGTTCTTCTGTTTAGCTTCCCTTTGCTGAATCCCCTGAGGGATGCCTCAGCAAGGTTCTTCTCTGCACTGTTGAATGAAGATCTTCACACCCAAAACTCTTGAGAAAGATGTATTTATGAAGGAGAAGTCCAGGAGAGAAGCTGCCTCTACCAGGGTAAACAGAACAGCCCACAACTAGCCAGGCAGGGTGGTTTATATAGGATGTCTTGGGGGCAGAGTCAACGAGGGATTGGTTAAGTTTTTTTTCTGCTCAGGTATTGGTCACTTTTGTGGGTTAGGGGCAGAGATGGTCCTAATTTATGAGCCAAACTGTTTCTTTCACTGGCCTTTCTTAGATTTTTTTACTCTAATTGTAAGGTCAGGGCATATCTCTTTCACTGGCTATGATTCTAGGGACCAAGAGTGTTTCTTTGGCACTAGTTTCAGAGTCAGGGCATGTTTCCTTGGTTCTAGGTTTGAAGATAAAGTGTTTCTATCTCTGCTTCTGGGCTCCAGGGTCAGGGTGGGTTTCTTTAGCTAGCCCCTTTCTCCTAAAATTTTCACAGATTTTAATATAAGAAGAAAGTCTTACTCAACATGAGAAAGTATTGCTTGGGAACATTTTGCTGTTCAGTATTGGAGTTTGTGGACACATGAGCTCATGGTTAGTACAATCTTGGTTAAACTTGGGCTGTTGGTTTCAAATGGTCATAGACAGTTTGTATCAAAGCTGCTGCAATGGGTGTTGAACCTGAGAAAGGAGACAGTGGAAAGTTAGACTTCTGTACTGGCCCTTAGCAATATGAACAGTGCAATCAGGTGGATCGACTTTGGGGATTTCAGTTCAGGTGGTCAATGGATCGAGGCCCCTCTGATGACCTTGAGATCATTACTCTAATTCAGCACAGATTTTATGGTGGTGTGGCAAATTTGCAAGATTGTATGCAATGAAAAGACAGGTCACCTTTTACCCATCACAATATTTTCTTCATTTTTGACCATTTATGCACTCCATTCTTATATATCATGGCAGGAAGCATGTGACAAAGCTGTATACATCGGGTTCCGAGTATGGTGAGAGCTTGATCTATGTGGAAAGAGCATGGACAGAATGGGGTAGATGGGACTGGAGAGATTGCTGAGAGGTTAAGAGCACTGGCTGTTCTTCCAAAGGTCCTGAGTTCAATTCCCAGCAACCACATGGTGGCTCACAACCATCTTTCATGATATCTGGTGCCATCTTCTGGCCTGCAGTGATACATGCAGACAAAACTCTGTATACACAATAAATAAATAAATCTTAAAAAAAAAAAAAAAAGGAATGGGATAGATGAATATTAGTGGGGCAGGGACAATTACGTTATCCGAGGAGTGATGGCAATTGAAACAGGCTTGGTTGGTTTGGAAAATTCAGCAGCGTTTGTGGAAGTACTTGATGAAAACCAGAGTACAGGAGCCTGAGTGCAATCCCCAGAGGGATTACTGGGGGCTACATTTTTAGGAACCCTACAAGACTCAGACAGGAGAAGTCATGAGTCAACTGTGCCTTGGTGGGGACAGAAGCTCACTAGTGCTGGAGGGCTGGCAAATGTGCAGGTTGGACTGGAACAGGAGTGCAGTCTGTCCCTGCTTCTGTGGATGAGAACACTCCCTCTGGAAATTATGTTGTGGGTACCCAACCATGTCAGTAAAATGTAATTCGTATGTCCTGGGACTTACTGGGATTATTTTATTTTTGATTATGTATGCCTGAATATTTACAGGAGAATAATCTGTAAAAGGATTTCCATGGTTCTCATGGTATTATTGCAATTACATAGCACTTGAATTTAAACTCATCAATGCTTTCTACCTCCCCTGTTGTATCACTAGCATATTTGAAGAGGTGCCCTTATTCCGTGGAGATTAGGCATTCACTGAGAGTTTATTAGAGACTACTACCACGAGGAACCAGTGCATACTTGATTGAATCTGAAAAGTATAATTTATTAAGTCCTATAATAACCTTTAAAAATATTACTGTGTACTGAGTAAATCTTATTCCACATTAATTTTCCATCTGGAGCATATGTGGTCTAGAATGTAAATACCAAATTCAGAAATGTGTCTTCATTTTCTATATTCTTAATATGACACCTTAGATTCTGGAAAAGCTTAGTATGTATGCTGCAAGAGAATATCAAGGCAAACTATATTTACAGCTAGAACACGTACTATAGATTAGGACAGAATTGGAAAGCATTTTTAAAATAATTCTGGTCACTCAATTATATAATGAAATTTGACTCTTAATTATCTGTTCTCTCCTTGGTACAACAAAATCACTTTTCCCATAGATGAATGGCTAAATTGCCCTCATTTCCTTTTTAAGGGCCACTATCATCTTCATAAAGTTATTTTATTTTTAAGGTTGTTTCCTGTTTTGGGGTTTTCAGGTCTTGCTGTTGTAGGACCACTAGGTTCTGGTGGTGCCTTGTTGCTCTTTTTGTTGCTATATATATGTTTACACTGCCATTTACCCATCTGAGTTTGGGATAATTATCAGAACAGGTGTTGATTCTTGTGATGTCTTTGTTGGATGGGTCTTTTGTTCCTTTAATGTCTATATTCTTTATCATCTCTTGGCCTGAATGACCAAGAGTTCTGGTGAGTGGCTGGTTGTCCAGTCATGTACGGTTGTCTCAGCTGAGGTTTGTGGGGTTTGGGGTACCTAGATACAATGTATTATCTAATTCTTCTGGCTGTTGTGAGCTTTACTTATGCCTATGGGGTCTGTTCTTTCAACTGGTTTGTGTTATGCCTGTGCCTGTGGTGTCTGTCTTCCAACTGGTGTAGGTTTTACCTGTCCCTGTTCTTCCAACTGGTGCAGGTATTGGTTTGTGCCTATAGGATCTTCTGATGTCATTGGAAAGGGCATTTCATGGGGAGGCAGCTCTTCTGATTGGTACACGTGGTACTTGTGTCTCTAGGGGCTCTTCTTCCAAATGGTGGAGGTGGTGATTGCTACTCTAGGGACTTTTCTTCCAGTTGGTGGTAGTGGTGCTTGTGCCTCTAGGGGTTGCTGATTTTGTGGGGGATGCGTGCCAGGGCAAGAATGGGTTCTGGTCATCTGTGCAGCAGAGTGGGTGTTCTGGTTAGAGGTCCAATGGATGGTGGTGGATGTGTAGCGGCCTGCTCACAGA